GATTCCATGATGGTGATGGTGATGGTGATGATGATGGTGGTGGTGATGGTGATGACCGTGTCCATGCATAGCGGCACCTACCACCACTTCCTTTTCGTAGCAGGCAGCGGCCATGTTGGAAACCTCCTACTATCCAGGCTTCCGTCGCCGAACCGTCCCTTCTTGCACGCCCGCTGACCAACGACCCACCTCGAACGCTAGGCTCTCATTTCGTGGGATCCTCGTGATTATTCTCCCCGATGACGACCACGATCCTTTGCTCTCCGTCTCGCCCAGCGTTGAGATTACCCGATCTTTTGTTACACAGCCGGAGACGCGAGTTCGCGATCCTCCGGCACTTTTTCTTTTCCTTCCTTTCCTCGGCTAACCTTCTTCTTTTCTTTCTTCTTCTTCCTCCTCTTCTTTCCTAGACTTCTCTTCTCGCTTTGTTTTCTATCTCCTTTCGAATCGCATTTACCTGTGCGACTGTCTTAATGATTATGGCATTCCTCGCTGTTACAGACATACCTTGAAACGAGGCGAGAAAGAATGGTTACGGTTCATCGCAGTGAAAGAGGGTTGCCTTTTCCAGGGGTTGGACCAATCAGCTATTATATCCAACACCGAGGAAAGCCCTCGAGGCAGAAGCCCGCAATGTACAGCAATGAAACGGTTATCGCATATTTCGAGAGAGGGAAGGGAAAAAGAGTCCTAGGTAAAGAGCTTACAAGCGACTATAAATTCAAACACTACCGGCCCTGACTCGTTTGACACCGGCTTCCTTGCAACATCGACCTTTCCCTTTTATAATCTTTTGTTTCTCGATGTATTTGTCTTCGATCTTTCGTCCCTACCTCCAAATTATTCCGTTCCTTTTATAAATGCGTATTTTATCTTTCCCTTTCCTTGCAATCTCTTGTTACATAGGATTAATCTACTTCACTTTGTCACAAGCCGTTTGTATGTGTCATTCCGGGTGCTACATCTGTGTATTGTGTTTCCATTTAAATGATGTCATATTTTCACTTTAATGAATTTCCTCTTCGCACGTTTTCGTTGATAAAGCTTTAAACCACGTTCGTGAGAACGCTAAACCGAATGGTGTATCAGACTCAGTAATACGGCTTAGACGTGATCCGGCTGGGCGTAACGTTTCGTTCGGTCGTTCGTTTCGGCAAGGCTGAAACACCCTAATACGCCGACGTCGTTTCGCAAATCTATCATGGACTTACATGTTCCATTTTTTACTCGGATTATCTGTCTTTCTTACACACAGCACACACAGCGGCACAAAAGAATATTCGACGACAGAGAACACGTTCAGGCTTCTTCAAAGGGGTACGCCATTGCTGCGCGTGTGTCAATTCGTCCGGCGTATCGGTTACTCGTACACACGCGGAGACTGCGCCTATGAACACTAATACATATACCGTACGCGATATATACATAAACTGCACAGCGTAGTAAGTGTAACTCGATTGTCTCGTACAGACTGCCGAGCTGCGACTGAAAGCCAAGTCCTGTCGAACCCTCGTGTCGGCTCGCCACATTTTGCAACGCCATCTTCCTTGCGTTGCTTCCTTCTTACTCATTCGATTCTGCTTCCTCGTCTACACCGTGTGGTCGATTTCGTAGATTAATGGCTGGTATCTATGAAATGCGACGCGCGATGCACCACCGGGATAGCCAACCTGACGTGCCCATTTAGTTTCCTTTCATGCAAAAATCTCTGATTGGTTTCTGCATCGGAAAATATAGTTTACATTCCTTACGCATTGATTAAATTTTGCTATTGAATTCTAATATCTCCTAATAATCACGCAAGTAAAGTTGTCTTCTATTGAATTGTTTAAGTTCGTAGATGAACTTCTTGTTTGAATCGTATAGCTTTTTGTTTTCGACAATCTGCAATATTGACTGTTATGCAATACTCCATCTTTGTTCTGTTGATAAGTAGGTAATCTGTAATGTCTACACAGTAGATAGATGTCGCCACTCTACTGGCCACTGTAATAGCTTGAAAATTTTGGCACGCATCTTTTTACAAGCCTATATTAAATGCATTTTATGTTAGTTATTTTATTTTGTTTTCTTGCTTATAAAATCCTGTATATCGTAATAAATTCTAGTTTTTCTTCATATAGTCGTTTTCTCCTTTACAAATACGTTGAGATACATAGCGTGATTAGAATTTCATTTACGTTCTTCAAATATGCTCAATAGACATTCGATGAATATCTTACAAACATCGATGAAACTTTTAATTATATCTTCCATCAACTGTAACTAATAAATTTCCCATTAAATGATGTAAGCTTCCTATAATTTAACGAGATTCGAAAAATAATATCAAAAGCTTATAGAATGACATCATAATTTTTACATAGAGAATGTTTCTAAGAGATTACAAGCATGGTAGTTTATAGGTAGAGCTTGTGTGGTAGGTGGAACCGCCGTAAAAAAGTGATGCTATGTGAATGATGCGATAGTACCGTATGGGATGACGTCAGTGAGATGTAATTGTTGGTTCCATGTAGTAGTGGAAGAATATGTGAAGAAGCACGGACGCGGCGACCAATAACGGTTCTCCACATGTAACGTTCCTGGCCTCAGCCAGTCACATTAAAGGCTGATGCAAGTGTGGTTCTAGGATGTTCTGCAGTCACTGAAATGTTGCAGCTCGTCAGTACGATTACATCAGTTAGAAAAAACGTACGGAGTTTACATTCTATCCTTCGGTGTTATGTATTGGATCAGTCGGCGTCCGGCACTCGGTGGTTCCAGAAGTTGGACAAACGATAGATAGGGGTGGTGAAATTCTAAAGCAAGTGACAATAGTAAATCCATTCCATATTTTATGGCTGATTATGAGCGTACTGAAAAGTGTTATCATCACGTTGCCTAAAGGCCTGCCGTCGAAGACGCCTGGCGTTATATCGGCAACGGAATTAACAAAATCTGTGCAGAAATTAAATTTTTCCGCTACCTTATTGACCGATAAAACGAGAATGGATCCAAAGAAAATGACTAAGCACGAGGAAATTCAGGATGACGGTTCATCGTTCAAAACAGATGTATGCGTTCGTGGAAAAAAACGGCGGCTAGATCACTTGACATGGGAGGAAAAACTACAGAGAAAGTACGCTGATAAGAAATGAAAATTATAAATAAAAATCAGAGTACATATATAGATACGTTATCGAAATATGATAAATCCATTTCTATTGATTTTCCGATTTAAAATTGAATTTTTCATATAATTTGGTGACTAAAAATAAGTATTTTAGTATGAAATAATTGAAGAAGGAAATATCTTAATCGAGTTTTCTACGATGTTTTTTAAGACACGAATAATATTAGTTTAACTGTTATGTTAGTTTAACTTAATCAATATTAGACTGCATAATTAATTTTATATTGATATTATTTTAACGTTCAAGAACTTGGCGAAATTACATATTGAATTTTAAAATTGGTTTTTTATAAAAGGCGGCAAATGTCATGTTTATAATAATGTCCTATGTTTTTTGTTCATAATGCGATTAGAAAATATTCGAAATTAGTGTTGAATTAATCCGAAATGATATTTTATAGGAAATTAAAAAATAGGGTAGCAGCTCAAACTTCTCGGGACCGTAAAAAAGCGAAACTTGACGAATTGGAAGAAACTGTTCGAACTTTAAGGGAACAAAATGAACTGTTGACGCAAGAATGTTCGATGTTAAGATCGCAAAACGAAATATTAGTCACAGAAACGAAAAGATTGAGGAAGGAAAGAGAGACCAAGAACGCGGGAGAATTTGTTTGTTCCATGTGCCAGAATCGTGTCGGCTGTGCTGTGTCCTCGCTGGGATCTACAGTATCCCCCACTCACCCTCTGCAGCAGGGTGGAACAACACAGCTGGCACCGTCGCTGACGCTAACCCCAGGAGCAACAATTCTCCTGAAGATACTGACCATTTACCTCCTCTTGAAGAATTATTTGGCGACTTCCAAGGAGACGATTACATCGAACGACTTGAAGAACTTGCAGAAAGCCTTCTACGGGAGGTTACAGCAGAAGTGGAAGCAAATCCTCATAGGACAAATGAACAAGTGAGTATTATTGATCATTATTGATCTGTCAAGCAACTACATCATATAATTTGATTTTATTGCTTTAGACTTTAGGAATGAATGATTTGTTCGAAAGAATAGAAGCATTTTGATATATTCTGAAATCCATAGGAAATCATTGATTATTAATAATTAAGCTGCAAATCTTGAATATTGTTAAACATTTCATTCGTTTCTGAATTTATATTTTTCATTTGCAACTCAGTCTTCCTTTCGTTAATGACATAATGATTGTGTCTTGTGTAGGTGCCAGTTAAGGAAAATACCACTGAGAAATGTCACTATTCAAAAAGAATGGTGGGGCAGACATCAAAAGATGTGGAAACCAATGGAACCTGTAGAAGCATGAATACACATCAACCATGGCATTCTGTTTCTAGCACAGCCAGTACACCTTATACCACAAACACAACCGCACCAGCGTCAATAAAGTCAGAGGTCGAAGTAAAACAAGAAGTCGAAACGCAGGAGTTAGACACTATTTATGGTACCTACGATGAGGCAACCAATTCCGTAATGATCATTTATCCAGGAGACGAAAGCAACGTAAGCATTCAAGAATGCGTTCAAGAAGTAGTTACAGATGGTATTTGTACGGATGGTGTTTGTTCGAACGAAGATTCAACGTGCATAACACCGAATTATTATTCCAATCAGTTATCACCATGTTACACAAATACGGATTCTATGTCGCCGGCGAGTATACATTCCGAAGATGTGGATGTTAGTTACACACATACGAAATTAGATTCTAACGCGTCCGATTATGGATACGAATCGCACGGTTCTCCAAATTCTGATATACGACTTGAAAAAAGTAACATAGGTCTGTCGGATCTTTGGCACGAAAGTTTCTCTGAATTATTTCCAACATTAGCATGACAATTTCCTCAAAAAAGTAAATCCAAAAGACAATATCTGTGATACGCGTTAATCATACTTGTGGACTTGCGGGAAAGCATTCGTATGATTAGATAGTTACTTCTTATTTTCTTATTTTGTTGGCAATAATATGTATAGCGCAAACTATGACACTTTATAAACCAACAGCACATCTAAGTGTACATTTCCATTCGTACTTTTATACGTGTATTCTTAAAGTTAAAACGTTATAGTTTAAAACACATTTTTTCTGATTTATCTCGATATAGAGATTCGCACGGTAATGATAAAACACTGAATGAATGAATGTTACTGTATATAGTATCTCTTAAATGTTTATTGGTGAAACAATATGAATACTGCTGTGCAACAGTATGCCAAATAAACAGACTATAAAAAAAGCTCTTGTCTATTTTTGGATTTTATCCTAGTCTTTATATAAAAAAAGTAGGAAATAGGAAGCGTTCAAGAAAAAATACTACAAAAATTAATCTTTAATTCATATTTTTACTGCTCTTACATTATGCACTTATGGAATATTTTGTTTTTGATTAATTTATGTCATATTTATCGATATTTGTAATATTGTATTTTTTGTGGATATTCAGATACCTGGTAAATACTAACCTGTATAGAAACTTCTATATTGGAAAATACAACTCGCATCATTGCAATCGTAAATATAAATATTTTATAAACACGTATCAAATCTATCAGAATTGTAAACATTTGGTAGTGTTCCGATTTCATAAATATCTTTTTTAATTGGCAGCTTTTTTTCTTCGATTATATCTCTCAAAGATTACATTAGTGGTAAAAATAAACTACTAATTAGCACCCTTTAATAATCCTTAGATTGTAGGTCAATGTGAGATACGTAATATAAAATATTCGTGAAAATATTAGCAACGTGCCCTTATTAAGGACAATGGAAGATAATAACGACCACAGTTATCCTATTACCTTATTCTTATGATAAGAATGCATAAGAATAAACAACGATACGTGATATAATTGAATTGTTGCACCATTTGCATATTGAGATTTATAAAAATTTCCAAAGGCTGCTTCGGGTTACGATACGAAGCTTGAATCGTGGAATATCAGTACTTGTGTATGATGACTAAAGCGATTACATATTCTACGCGGTATAGACATATGTGAGCAGCCTATAAAAATTGTAAGTAATACCAAGCGAAACAGCGCCTGTTCGTCTTTATGTTACAAATACGAATACTTTGCGGTAGATTTTTAACCGAATAATTTGTCGAAACACCCGTGGCAATATGGTTTATCGTTTTGTTCCTTAAAAGTACCTTTGTTCAATTGCTTTAAACAGAACGCGCATACAAAATGCTCGGGGTGGAACTTCCGGAACATTGCAGTTATGCAACGACCTGAAAGAAAATAACGTTTATTTACGGGATTAATGGTTACCGGCATAATGATTATTAGTAGAAGGTATGAAAGCGCAGGTACCTGTAATTGGTTTATGGCACCCTGCGCATAGGGACCCTCTCTTAGCATGGTAATGAGTTTCACAATAGGGTAAACCTTCGTGATCAAAGAACGATCCACCTTGAAACTTTTGTCTACAATCCTGTGAATACAAAACAAAAGAAGCGTGTACATCAACTAGAAATATTTTTCACGAGAAAAGAAATATATGACTGTATTGAACATGATCACAGAGAATAGAAAAGACAGTACTATACGATAATGTCGTTTCTTTAGTCCCTGTTCATTTATGAATGAATGTAGAACGACTACTCCATAATATGGAAGAACGACTCAACGAGACAAGTATACATTACGCGTATTCAAGCACGCGTATATCTGCTGTACGTGTATGTATATGGGATAATGTATAGCTAATATATGAGTAGCCCGTGAAATTTACAGATCGTAATTTGTAGTGGATCTACGCGTTGACAAACATCATTAGATCAATATAGGATGCCGGCGTCCGACACACCTGCCTTCAACGAAGACACGTGGCAAGCGGCAGCATCCGAGTCACGAGCTAACTCTTTGTGTTGTGTGTGTTTTTTTTGTTTTTTTTCCTAATTTATTTTTATTTTGCATACAATACTAGCAATTGACATCAGCGTAACGATCGATTATTAATAATATTTATCTATCTAGAAAACGTAATTTAACAGCAAAAATTTAATTCCGGCTGCATCGAATAATTTCTCGTAGAATCCTATTGTAATCCTAACGACGCCCTAACTGTTTGTAGTGTGTACCGTACATTTATCCGTGTGTATGTGTGTATATGTGTGCGTGTATGTGTTCGTGTACGTAAATGAATAGGAATTTCGAGAGAGACAGATAACGATGGGGATGAAGTCGAATCGGTGCATTCTTCCTTTCTGGGCCACCTAAATCACCTGTTGAAAAAAGATGGGAAGAAGGGGGAAGAGTCAGGATCATAAACTTTTGCAGCCTGACAGCATAAAGAGGGGAACAATAGGGCTTTTCACATAAGAAATCGAAGCAACGCAATGGCTCGCCATCGCCTATGCTTCTTCCTCTTCCTCTTCATCATCATCGACACCAACGCATTTCGGGCAAACGGGTTTGCCCTCCATCGCATAAAACGACTTCCCAGATACCGGCTTCTTGCAATCCTGCAAGTTTTACATTTTAAAGCTACTGAACCGTGCAAACAGTTCATCGATACTTCGCATTAATCCTGAAGCGTTGCTGCAAATGGAAACGATTTGTTACGGATAAATATCGACAGGCAAAAAACCTACCCTGCAGACGAAACAATCCGGATGCCACTGACTGTTTAGAGCGGAGATATAATTCTCCATAATAGCACGATTACATCCGCCGCACTTCGGCGCGAACATGTCGAAGTAATCCTCCCGACAGTACGGCTTTCCGTCCCGCTCGTGGAACCCCTCTTCACCAAACTGTTTGCCACACTGAGCGCAAAAGAAGTGCTCCGTGTGCCAAGTTTTTTCCAACGCGGTTACGCATTTCTGAAAATAACAAGAACCTGCTGTAATACTAGATCGAAACACCGCGTGTGGGTTTCGTTGGACGCCTTACATCCAGAATGGGTCCGTTGCAGTAGGCGCAGCGTGGTGAGAAAAGATTATGATAATCGGGCTCGCAATAAGGATGACCCTCCCTTTCGAAGAAATTTCTTGTGCCCAATTCCTGGTTGCAGTGCGTGCATGTGAAGTGTTCAGGGTGCCACGTTTTTCCTAGAGCGGTGATCACCTGTAAGAGGCATAATTTATCACTTGATTATATACAAATTTTGTCGACAAATTTGGCATGATCCAAACGGCGATTGAGTTGGATTTACTTGTCCCACGATTGGTTTCTCGCAAGCGCTGCAGCATCCCTTCTGAGTAGTGTTCACTCCTTGACGACTCATATCGGCTTGAAGGTTTCCTAGCATAGAATCCAACTGATTCTGTTTGGTTTGAGTCGCTGGCTGCGGTGGATAAGGCTCTCCGTGTTGTTGCTGGTGGTGATGAGTAGTGTGAGTCTCGGTGATATGAATTCGAGTTTGCGTGCCCTCGGGTGGCAACGGGCTTTGCGAACTCTTGGTCGCCTTGTTCGGCTTGGCGTATGGAGAATCGGTCACTGTTTGAAGCTGATGAGAACTACTATTGATCTGCAAATGTACGACATATAATTAAAAAAAAAAGCCAGTCGGTGCAGGGTGGCGAAGAACATGATGTTTCAGAATATTCTCACAAATCAAGCAGGATGAAGAGCAATGAAAGAGCATGGAAAGCGAACGATTTTTCGCTGCAAGATGTGCTAAGATGAAAGAAAATTGAAAAATCGGCGAGGTATGTTATTAGAGGCGGAGTGTCAAGGTAGCGAAAATTTGAAATTTGAAAACTGAAAAATATTAAGGACCCGCGAGAGATGTCGATTGGCAGAGGCGAGCTTGCAGACTGGCTGAAAGCTTTGAGAGATTTCGTGGATCACTATATTCCCCACCTTCTATATTTTCCCTCTCCTACCACGGAAAATCGGTGAACATGAAGAAAAGGAGAGAGAGAGAGAAAGAGAGAGAAGAGGAGTAGATGGTCGAATAGTGGTAGATGGTGGATGGTGGAATGGAAGTTATTTTGGTAACTTAGGGAGCCAAGAATGGGCAGGGATAGTTTTAACGGCACTGTTTTCTCATTCTGTAGTGATTTTAATAGTAAGCAAACATTACAAACGCTTATTGCACCCGGTGTCGAGGAATCTATGAATTACGTAATTGTTCTTAGGTGGTAGGAGATCTGACGATTGCGCTGACGCGTCAGAGAAGATATAAGAGACAAATTTCCTGATATACACCGTACCTTAAATTCGGAGAGAGAAGCCATTAAATCGTCAAGCTCCTTGGTAGCGTTGCTGGCGGTGTGACCATTGGTATAACTCTTCTGGGCCTCGCTGCGATTCAACGATCCGTGCTGTCTAGGAGGATAACCATCGTACACGGGTTGCACTTCCGTGGACGTTTCTTGAATGGTAACTTTCACTCTACCATCGGCAGGATAATCCCTGACGAAGAAGATCGCGTTAAAATCAACTCCGAAGTACCGTGTTCAAATTGCAAACTTCCCAACTTTATCTTTTCCTCCTCCTTCTCGTTCGTTCGTGATTTTTCCAAGAATAAAAGAGTAACGCTTACCCGTTCGGTACCGCGGTGCTCAATTCTTCGAGCAACGAATCGACGGTGGGCCTTGAAGCTGACATGCTACTCGGAGAACGAAGCATCGGACTAGAATCACCATTCATTCCTCCCGAGGAAACGCGATTCTCTACGGTCATCGATATTTCGATCATCGTCGTTGCACAGTTTTCGTCAAATTCTAATTTAGCGTATCTGATCGAAACTGATGTAAACGAAAGACATGAAAATAGGATGCTGACCTCTTTCCTGATAGTGAGCATTGTAACGAGCGTTGCTCAGATCTTGCAACAACGTGTCCAACTCCGACAGATTGTTGTTGAGGGAAGGCATCTTCCCTCCGCCGCTGCCTTTCGCGATGCTCTCCTCGATGGCCTCGCGGTTCTGATAAGTCGGCTGTAACAGCAGTTCGTCGTTCGCTATCGATCCTTTTCAACTTTATTTATCATCGATATTTAACTCATCCAATTTTTACACCTAATATGTCCATTTCTCGACAGATCTTTCCAGGATTATCGCGGAATAGCAATTTCTCGTTGGTTGTAATATTCGTTTGTTCGATTGGTCTGAATATTTGCGTTAACAGGCGAATGAGAATCGACTAGGAGAGTCGTGTCAAGTGCGTGTGCGTACGTTTGTTCGTTACTCGGGGGAAGAACGAGGGAAAAAAGTGTCGCGGACAAGAGACAGATGCCAAGTAGCCGCAAAAGCGGTATTATTTCAAAACATGATGTCATTAGATGCTGCGCGGAATTTGTAAATACATTATCAATTAGGTGGTCGCGCGGAGGACAAGGCGTCATGCACTTTTAATAGAAACCTGCCCGCCAAACCGACCAACATTACTCGTTTGTTGCAAAATCCTCGAGCAAGAGAGAGGCACCGCGAATTTGTTCCGGCGATTCAACGAGCAACGACCAGAACCGAATCAACTTTGCTCCAACTTGATCTTCGGCCGATTAAATCGCTGATAATTAATCAACTACGTAGGAAGACACGTTTATCAGATAACGTTCCGTTAAGATCGTCTGATACGTCTCATTATTCAGATCTAATATATTCTTTCGTCTTTCGTCATCGTCATGAAGTGATACGGAACGATACATCCTGATGGTGGAAACTAGGTTGCTCAGTGAGTTGTCGTTCCAAAAATATCCATAGCGAACCACCGACGGAAAGAAAATGTCGCATTACATCCGACAATCCTGCAGAACCCTGGTCGAAGTTTCTTCCACTGATCCCTCGAACGTGGAATCGTAGCCTGCGAAACGCTTTGCTCGTCAAGGCTGGTCGATCAAAAAATAAACACGGGCCTATAAACCGCCGCGATCTACAATGACACAGGGAACTTCATAAATCACCGATTCACCAAACTTGCGAAAATAGGCCGAACGCAAACTTTCCTGTGGAGATTTCCTCCGTGCTTCCCAACTTCGTCTAATATTCATCCGGTAGAAGACGAAGAGGACGTGTCTTAAGAGAGAAGTATGTAAAATTAATTCTTAAAGATTGTCGTGGGTGAAAGTTCGTCGCAGTATATCTTCCTTGAATGAAGAAATTAATAAATAGATGGAGTTCGATATCTTCATTGTTAGTTACTAGACGAAGAGTAGAAAAATCATTGTTCGCGGTGATTACAAAAATAATTCCATTGCGATGGTACTTCTACGAGATGCCAAAAAATTTCCATGTGGTAGATTTTAAAAGTTACATATTTTCATCCGAGAATCACGTATCGTCTGAGAATCGATCAGCCAGTACTCGACAGCTAACAAGAAATATTTTATTTAAGAAGAATAGTATTCGAAAGTAAATTGTATCATTGGAAGAATCGCGCATTTTTCCAGAATCAACGAATCGCGTATAATTAAAGAAAACGCTGTAAGTGTCAAGAAACAAGTTTTTCAGGAGAAAAAGGAAGCTTATGTATTTTAACGTAGTCCAAGTTCGTTCAAAAAGGGAAGCGTATCCGTAGAGAATTCTATATGTACAATTGTCTTAGTTGTAAAAAAAACTCGATGTTCCATTCGTTTAGACAGACGGCATAGAGAAAAGTAAAAAATCAGACAACTAACGTTTATTGCAACTTATACATTTTTTTACAGGCGCAACGTTGCTGCGACACCATCTTTTAGCATTGTCGGTAAATTATTTGAAAAGGGAAATTACATTTAAGATATATTCGAATAAAGAACAAAGTTTTTCAATTTTGGCATTTACAATGTCTTCTCGATCGTTTCTTGCAATATTATTTAACACTGAACCGCGAAAGAAAGTCGCGTTTGAGGAGCAAAGATTCGAGAAACGAAAGGAAGATTCAAAGTCGAATATTTCCTTTAAAAGGATTGCGCGTGGTTCGAGAGTCGCGCACGGTTTACGCAACGCTCTCGAGAATCGCATTGGAACCCGTACGAATACGTAACACGGTTCGTTTCGTGCTAAATTCGCATCAAAGGAAAATAGTGCGCGATTCGACAGGTTTTCGCCAACTTTTCGTTTATCGTGGCCGAAAGCTCAACGCGAGAACGCCAATCAGCGTCACCCAGCGGCAGTGTTTCGCGACATTGCAAGTGTTCCAAGAAGAAGAGCACGACGTTATGATTTATTTCACGCCAGCGTCGTCTAGTAAAACTATGAAAAATTATGCTCGCCACAGACATAAATCTCCAATGGTCTACACGTGTTTCGTTATCGCCAGTGATTTCTCGCGAAACCATTATTTTCCTTGGATTTGGTTCTTCCTTTGTAGGTTGATAGCAGCAAATGGAACATGACGATTTTCATAGGTGCAATAAAATCTATTTATAAGACGAAGCTCCAGGAATGTTCGAAAAGATATCCGCTATATTCACGGCAATTTCGAGCAAGCCTCTAGCGGGGTTTCTGAGTACTGAATATCCTTGTTTAGTAGTGAAAAAATTGTTTCTTCGATCGAATGGTAAAACACGCTAGGTGAAACAGAAACCGTGTGACGTATCTATCTATGCACAGCCGTTATGCCTCGGTCTTTTCTCATGCGCTTGCATACGACGGGAAAGAAGAAGACCAGTGATTGTACAATGACACCGACGATCGATAAAATATACGAAGGCTCAGCGAAAAAGTGTATGGAGAATGTTGCCCTGAATGTCTAAAGTTTTATGAATACGTGTAGTAATTTGTTTTAATGTTTGAAGAGAACTATGAAGTTGAATTTCTTTCTTTTTTTCTTTAAATTCAACTTTTATCTGAAAAAATTGTGGATAAAGTTGATAAAGCTAATATAAAAAACTTATAGTTAAGTAAATATTACCGACGGTATTTTTCTATCGAAGATGGATTTTATCTAGAATTAGCTCAATTTAAAGTTGAATAGCAATGAAGATAATCTATGTATAAATGAACATTAAAACGAGCTTTGAAAATTCGAAATAGAATTCTTCTTCCATCGAGCCTTTTCATTTATCTTAATCGAGGAAATTATGAACAAAGATGTATCGCCAGATGTATCGTTTCTCTGTTTTCACCGCTTTCAACGCTGTTTAAGCGAATGAATTTCAATTAAATTCCGCTAGGTGATATGCCTGTCATTTGCAATAGACGTTTGGTATTCGGTGAATGCGTTTCCTGTTCAATATGTCGATAAATCTTGGCTATGTCTCAAACATCAACTGCCCGACTATATCAATATCTCCATTAAACTAACTATTTGATAACGTAATTAGAAACGATGGAATGAAACCGCGTCGTCATGTCGTTTCTTTTTTCTAAATGATTATAGCTGTGAGATGTTAAATGCTATTTGTCGTGGAATATTCTAGCAAGGAGGAGTTACCACTCTAAGGATGACTCGGTGGAACGCCTAAAGCGACCACGTGTTACGCAACAAGGGAATACTCGAAACGATCAAGAAATATGGCGACGGAACCAGGCAATTAAATCTCGGATGAAGTTGTACTTTATAGCAGGAATCGGATTTGGCAATTGGTTACTGTGCAGTTGGCGCGATGGAAACCGTGTTGCACGCGAACCGGGAAACTTTGCAGCCAACTCAAACGTCGAGAACCTGAATAATTGATGCATCGTTGCTTCCACTGGGAAATAATCGATAATACCACCGGGGAACGTAACAAATATTCCGCGGCAAAGATCGATAAGCGTGCGAGTCCAACTCGAGAACTCTTAGTTTCCAACCTTCGTATCGTTTTACATTTCTTCCTACTCGAAAGATATTTTTGCTTCTCTTTTCTTTTCTTTTTTCTTTTTTGTGATCGATTACGAAATAAGAAACTACAGCAGTTCTCTCGAGAACAGATCTATGACAACAGAACGGTGGATCAGGCAAAGTGTCTTGGTCTTAGTTACAGTTTTTTCATACGATTTAAAACTACTGGGGGGGGGGGGGCAC